AACAGACTGGAATGGTGGTTACCCTGGAGCTGTGGGGTACAGGGGGAAAGGGAGATGTTGGTCATAGTACAAATTTTCAGTTATAGGAAGATCAAGTTCTGGGAATATAGTGTAGAGCATAGTGATTATAATTCAAATACTGTATAACGTATTTGAAAATTGCTGAGAGTAGATCTTAAATTCCTCATCACAAAAAAGAAATGGTAATTATGTGACATGATTACAGGTGTTAGGTAATGCTACAGTAATAATCACTCTGCAATATATGTGTATATCCTAGTGGACTCCTAGATATTCCTTAAAGAAATTGGCAATCCAGATGAGCAAGGCAAACACCCAGCTGGGAAGTACCCATGTGTCCCTTGTACTACTTCTCAAAAAAGAGCTTACCACATACTCAACCTCCAAATAAGTTTGATTAATAATTTTCTGCCTGCAAAATTTAAGTAAGTCAGGAATTCTGACCCTTTAAAAAGACTTTTAAATAAACATTTTAATGAAGATATAAGATCTGAAAAATAACTGAAAAAAATCTATCGTACATATGGGTTCTTTTCTGTTCATTCATAAATAAACTTGCCAAATTGTACTGAATATGTTTTATAATGCTTTTTACAATGTAAGACTTTTCTCTGAAAATATGTCCTAACAATCCAATGTGCTATCCATTTCCCTCCTTAAAAATCCTAAAAATTTTCACTGCTTGTTTAAATTTTAATCTTCTCCATTTATTAATGATACCAAAAAGAAATACTTGCCTTCTCCTTGTAAATAATTCAAATAATATAGACAATGTGAAGCCCTCTCTGAGTTCCTATTCCCCACATCTGCCCCTCCCTGACTTGAAGGCAAGGATACTCAGTTTGGTTTTAGGTAAATCCTTTTTCAGTTGGTGGTGGTGGTCGTCATATTTTCCAATCAATTTCATATCATCTACTCACAGAAATTTTTAATTTTGCTTTTATTTCTAACATAAATATATGTTAATAACAAATGTATTCTTCTGCAATTGGCCTTTGCCCTTTAATACATTATGGTATTCTTATAAGGTCATTATATGTAGATACACCTCACTACTTCTAATTTCTGCACAGTTCAGTTCAGCTCAGTCCTGTCATGTCCAACTGTTTACGACCCCATGGACTGCAGTATGCCAGGCTTCCCTGTCCATCACCATTTCCGAGTGCTTGCTCAAACTTATGTCCATCAAGTCGGTGATGCCATGCAACCATCTCATCCTTTGTCGTCCACTTCTCCTCCTGCCTTCAATCTTTCCCAGCATCAGGGTCTTTTCAGATGAGTCAGTTCTTCACATCAGGTGGTCAAAGTATTGGAGTTTCAGCTTCAGCATCAGTCCTTCCAATGAACATTCAGGACTGATTTCCTTTAGGATTGACTGATTTGATCTTCTTGCAGACCAAAGGACTCTCAAGAGTCTTCACCACCACCACAGTTCAAAAGCATCAATTCTTTAGCACTCAGCCTTCTTTATGGTTTAACTCTCACATCCATACATGAGTACTGGAAAACCTTAGCTTTGACTAGATGGACGTTTGTCGACAAAGTAATGTCTTTGTTTTTTAATATGCTGTCTAGGTTGGTCATAGCTTTTCTTCCAGGAAGCAAGCATCTTTTAATTTCATAGCTGCAGCTTCCATCTGCAGTGATTTTTGAGCCCAAGAAAATAAAGGCTGTCACTGTTTCCACTGTTTCCCCATCTATTTGCCATGCAGTGATGGGACCAGATGCCATGATCTTCGTTTTTTTAAATGTTGAGTTTTAAGCCAGCTTTTCCACTCTCCTCTTTCACTTTCATTAAGAGGCTCTTTAGTTCCTCTTCACTTTCTGCCATAAGGCTGGTATCATCTGCATATATGGCTATTCTCCATAATACAGAAATTCATTATTTATCATTTCTACTCATTTTTAATAGACAGACTATTTTTAATTTTTATGAATATTTTTGAACATGCTCCGTTTTGAAGAGATTCAAGCATGATCTTGCTGGGTCTTAAGAGTATCTATTAATACATTTAAAAATGTAATTAGACATTGCCAAAGAGATCTCCCAAAAAGCTACATCAATTTGCAATCTCAAAAGCAGTGTTTAAATACAAACTTTTCCCCACATTCTCACCCACACTGGATATTATCAAACTCTTCACATTTTACAATACGACAGACATCCAAAACCAGTTTTCACATGAACTTAAAAAACTATTCTTCATTCCCAATGAATCTTCTGAATATAGACTTCTTTTAAAACCCTAATACTTTTCTGTTTCTTTACTGTAAAACTAAGTTAAAAATAAAAGGTTAATGAGAAAAAAAAAAAACCCTACCTGCTATATATACAAATTGATTTCATTTGAATTTAACTGATCTCATTTTCCATTTTCTCTCTTAAGAAATTCTCCTAAATAATAGAGATGCCAGTCCTCTGAGTCTGGATGAGTTGCCAATGTCCTCAATAAAAAGATATGAGTTCAAATGAAAGTGAAAGTGTTTGTCACTCTGCCCTGTCGGACTCTGTGCAACCCCATGGACTGTAGCCCATCAGGCTCCTCTGTCCATGAATTTTCCAGGCAAGAACACTGGAATGGCAAATAAAATACAGCAAAATATTAATGGTAATTGCTTCTTGGAGATACGCAATATTTTCCTTATTTATTTTCTTTCTGTCTTTTCCTAATTTTCTCCAATAACTAATACTTGTTGGGGTGCTAACTATTTGGCAGGCACTATTCTAAGCATTTTCTGTGCTTTATCTCATTTTATCCTTAACAGAAGCATGTGAAAGAAATATTACCATTATCCCTGTTATATACATAAGGCTTAAAAAGGTAAACTAATTTTCTCCAAATTCCACAGCTATGAAGGATTTGAACACAGGCAAGCTGATTTCAAATCTTAACCACTGTACCATGCTTCTGGCTATAAACATGTACTATTTTTATAACTTGAGTAAATAAAATAAGATCTAAAAATCAACTGAAAACATCTATATTTACTAACCAGGAATCAATAGCATTATGACCTGTGAGCTTATTCCTCCCTTTGCAAGCTTTCTTACACATCTCAAAGGCAATCTTACCTTCCTAGCCACACCAAACCTCTTCTCCCCAGCCTCGTCTCTGTCCAAAGACTTAAAGATACAAGCTTCAAAAACCTAGAGGTTTTATGGTCTTTTAATCTCCCTATAATTCATTTTTATCACTTTTCCTTTGTCTCTTGTGAAGACATCTTGTTCTGTAAAGCAAGCACTGTAATTTAATTGTTGGCTCCTCTGTGTGATATTCTCAGCCAGCTTCTGCTCCTTTTTTGAAGCTCCTCAATCTAGCTGATAGTCTATAATTCCTAATATCAATGGGAATGGCTGTAATACCCAGCACTGACATACAGTTCCTTCAGCAAAGCCTCTGTGTTTAGGATTCCAACTCCTTAGCAGTGGTGGCAGCAACTAAGAATCGCCGTCAAAGAACACCAACAGATTGCATTACAATCTGTCAATCCTTCTCTAGAGAAAGGAATTGGCAACTCATTATATTAAAGAATTGCCATCAAGCATCTGGAATATGGCAATGCACGTCGATTTTATGTGAATTAATGAGTTTCAGCAATTTATTACCCTGAACTTTTTCATATAATCTCATCCACAACATCTCTAACACAAATGTACACTTTGTGTGAATCACAATTGTTATTCAAGCCACACCTTTGTGACTATTCCATTTCAGAGGTTTTGTTTTGGAGACTTACATATACACTTATGCCAAAGAGAGAAATTATGTACTTTTAAATTTTTAATTAACAAAATACATGCCCTCTTCATTTGCCTCATGCCAGCAGGAAATTAAGACAGCTTCTTAATAAAACATTTGTATTGAGCCATGTCGTGTTAAGCAATAACCTCATCGTTTTCCCACATAGAGTCAACAGTTAGATAAGGCAGACAGGCTACAAAGGCCTGAAGTCTTCCTCATAAAAACTAGTTTATTGAGCACTCACAGTGTGCCCAGCATTGTGCTTCCATTTTACATGTATTTTTTTTCATTAAATCTTACCAGATGTCCTGTGATATGTGTTATTATTATTACCATGTAACAAAGAAAGAAAGTAAGGCTCTAAGATGAAGCAATCTGCACACAGTCATATAGCAAGTAAGTAGAAGAACTGGGATTATCTACCAGTTAGCTTTGCTGCATAACAAACTACTCCAAAACTTAGTGACTCAAAACAACAATCATTCATTTAGTTCATAGAATATAGGTCAGAGATTTGGACTGAGCTCAAGAGATTTCAGCTGGGCCTCACTGATGTGGCTGCAGCTGGCTGCTGGGTCAGTTGTTGGGTCAGCTGGGAGCTGGTTGGAGGACCTGGGCTCTCATTCATGCAGCTTCCCATTATCCAAAGGCTAGTTCAGGCTCATTTACCTGGCAGCCCCAGAGCTCTACAAACTGCAAGAAGAGGCAAGTCCGAAAGTGCATAACATTTTCAATCCTCTGCTTATATTCCATTTCCTACTCTCCATTGATTAAAGCCAGGCTCAAAATCGGCCCGGTTCAAGTTCAGAGGAGAGAAAGAAAGACTGTGACTGTACCTCTAGAGAGATCACTTTTACGGTCTACCACATGTTCAACCCACATTTTGCTGATGCCAAAACCCACTCTGCGCGCCACTCCTGGATTTGTCTGGCCTCAGATCTAGTCCTAACTTCCCATTGCTCTGTTCTGTACAACAGGTACACCGATTCTTACAGGCTCTTTCCAGACACCCGTGAAAGCCAGTACAAGGTAATGGAAAGAGATTAGAAGGTAAGAGAAAAGAAAAGCAGGGCAGGCAGTCCGCTTGAGCGCTCACCGCAGCGAGAAGGTTTCCCGTGCCGTCGCGCCTTCCGCCGCCGCCGCCGGGCTTCGCCGCTTGTGCCGGGACGCGCCTCCCAGCTCCTCGCCGCTTCAACCCCCGCGGCCGCCGCACCTCTCGCAGTCGGCACACACACCATGACGAAGACAGACAAGAAGTCCTTCAACCAGAGCCTGGCCGAGTGGAAGCTCTTCATCTACAACCGGACAACCGGAGAGTTCCTTGGGCGCACTGCCAAGAGCTGGGGTTTGATCTTGCTCTTCTACTTAGTCTTTTATGGGTTCCTGGCTGCACTCTTTTCATTCACAATGTGGGCCGTGCTTCAGACTCTGAATGATGATGTTCCAAAATATTGTGACCAGATTCCTAGTCCAGGACTTATGGTTTTTCCAAAACCAGTGTCTGCGTTGGATTTTTCATTCAGCCTGTCTGATTCAGAATCCTATCAAGGGTACATTGATGACCTTAAGAAATTTCTAAAGCCACATGGCTTAGAAGAACAGAAGAATCTCACAAATTGTACCAGTGGAGCCTTTTTTGATCAGAAGGGTCCAGAATACACAGCATGTCAGTTTCCTCTTGCCTTACTTGAAGCATGCAGTGGTGTGGATGATCCCACGTTTGGCTACCAAGAAGGAAAGCCTTGTATTCTTGTGAAAATGAACAGAATAATTTGATTAAAGCCTCAAGGACAACCAAGGATAGACTGTATTGCAAAGAGTGAAAGCACAGCATTTCTAGCAACTTACCCTGCCAATGGAACGATAGATTTAAAATATTTTCCATATTATGGGGAAAAAACTGCATGGGAGCTACCTGCAGGCACTAGTTGCCATCCAGCTCATCTTTGGTGTGATGGTGACGTAAAAGAAGTAATGGTTGAGTGCAAGATTGATGGATCACCCAACCTAAAAACCCAGAATGACCGTGACAAGTTTTTAGGACGAGTTGCATTCAAGATCACCATGCATGCATAGTAGGAGTTAGGATGTCTCCACAGAGTAAATGTGTTGTCTGTCTTCATTTTGTATCAGCGGGACCTGCCATTCCAGAATTATGAGACCGCCTTGGAGAAAGGTGGAGTGGTACATGACACTGGGATAACATAATGTGCTTCCAGATAATAGTGGTCCATGTCCTTCGAAGTAACTGCCTGTTGCCTCTGCTGCCTTTTGAACCATGTACAGTCACCAGATAGGGACTGTGAACACCTGATTCTGAACATGTAGGTTGGGGGTCTTGTCCAATTTTTATGTGGTTTAATTGCCAAGTGTCTAAAGCTTAATGTGCTGTGCTATGTAAATATTTTATAGATTTAACACTGGTTAACTGTCATATTTTGATGCCAGCAAAGTTTTAGGGTATAAAATGGTACCTGACCAACATCAAATGACTTTATAGCTGCAAGAAATTCAGTGCGTGGAACAGTTCTGTATGTGAGGAGGAAAAAGGAAAATAAAAGTGGATTTGAAAGGTAAAAAAAAAAAAAAGCAGGGCAGACATCACCCTCCCTCTCTGCCTCAGGCTGCATGTCCAGCAGGGTGGCACCTCCACAAAGGTCTGCCATGGTTTCAGACTCTGCCTCCTCCATGTGGTCCTTCTTCCCAGGAAGGGTTTCCTGCCATTGCTAATCTCAAGGCTGCCACATTATCCTCTAACTTCCTAGCCCCTCCAAAACCTATGTAACCAAGTCTTGGCGTTAAATTCCCTCTGTTCTAAATATTTAATAATTTCTCTTGTTCTGGTTGAACATGCATGCTACACACACTCCGCTGATTTTTGAGTCTCCTAGCGGGAACTACTATGTAATTTCCCTCCTACAGTGCCAAGAGCTATGAAAGCAACCATATTCATTTACTCAGAAAACATTCACTGAGAAACTACTAGGACCAAACACTGGGCCAAAGACAGTTTGAAAAGTTGAATAATACCTTACAAAACTAACCCAAAGCAGATAGATCTATGTATAAATAATAACCATATAGTCAGGTTTTTAATGAACATGTAAATAGACTTTATTAGAAAAGCAGTCAGATGTGATAGGTCTGTGCACAAGTTCTGGAGTCAGATCACCTAGATCAGAATCTAGGACCCATTTACTATCAGAATCTTGGGCACTTTTACAACCAATAGAGCAAGTTAATTATACTCTGCTTCTTCCTTGATCCAAAGAGGCACAATAGGATCAATTTCAGAGGGATACTGTAAAGACCAAAAGCAATAATACCTTCTTGGAGCTTAGGCCTGTGCATGTCTGGTCCATAAGTGTTTAAAATGTGTTAGGTATGAATTTTATGGAAATGCAATATGGAAAAAATATCCATTTGTCTTGAGAATTGGGGAAGTCCTGAAAAGAAGACGCCTTTCAGTGGACAAGAAAAAGTGATCACCAGGTGAAATACAACTTCTCCCAAAGAAGTTTCTTCAAACCCCATCTATAAGTGATTCATCCTCCTTCTGACCACCCACGGCATTTTGTTTTCATACTCCTGGAATGGTGATATCTCAATTTTTGTCTTGTTACATATGCTTTATTTGCCCTATGAAACTGAAAGCTCCCTGAAGGCAAACACAAGCCTCTCCACCCTTGTCCATCCATAAAGCTCAGCACACCACTTGCCACATAGCAGGAGTGCCAGTTACTAAGCTGCTGTTTCTCAGCTCCAAAACCACCCGCTATAATTACTCCATGATGCTGGGGCTGGAATTACAACCACATTTCTGGGGTACACTAGAGGGACAATGCAAGACTGAAGGAGGGAGGTGGCAATTACTCATTATTCCCTTCCTGTTGACATCCTGTCTGTTCCCTATTCCTAGGTGAATAGCACCTTAGAAATACTTCTTCACCTCAGACCATGCCTCCTGGAGTGGCAGTTGAAAGCACTTTGGGGTTCTCCCCGACACTGGTAGAACCAGCCTTATCCTGCCACCTCAGTGACACCAGAACCATTACTGGTACCCTGCCACTGGGTCAGAGTTTCAAACCCATTTCAAAATCCTCCTCTAATTTTTTCCTTCTAACCAACTTTATTGAGCTTTAATTCACATAAAACAAAATGTTACCATCTTAATTATACAGTTTTATAAACTGTGGAAAATTCTTAAAGAGATGGGAATACCAAACCACCTTGCTTGCCTCCTGAGAAATCTGTATGCAGGTCAAGAAGCAACAGTTAGAACTAGACATGGAACAACAGACGGGTTCCAAATTGGGAAAGGAGCATGTCAAGGCTGTATATTGTCACCCTGCTTATTTAACTATATGCAGAGTACAACATGTGAAATGCCAGGCTGGATGAAGCACAAACTGGAATCAAGATTGACAGGAGAAATATCAATAATCTCAGATATGCAGATGATACCACCCTTGTGGCAGAAAGGGAAGAGAAACTAAAGAGCCTCTTGATGAAAGTGAAAGAGGAGAGTGAAAAAGTTGGCTTAAAGCTCAACATTTAGAAAACTAAGATACAGCATCCGGTCCCATCACTTCATGCCAAATAGATGGGGAAACAATGAAAATAGTGACACCTTTATTTTATTGGGCTCTGAAATCACTGCAGATGGTGAATGCAGTCATAAAATTAAAAGATGTTTGCTCCTTGGAAGAAAAGCTATGACCAACCTAGATAGCATATTAAAAGCAGAGACATTACTTTGCCAACAAAGGTTTGTATAGTCAAAGGTTTGTATAGTCAAAGCTATGGTTTTTCCAGTAGTCATGTATGAACGTGAGAGCTGGACCATTAAGAAGACTGAGCGCTGAAGAATTGATGCTTTTGAATTGTGGTGTTGGAGAAGACTCTTGAGAGTCCCTTGGACTGCAAGATCAAACCAGTCAATCATAAGGGAAATCATTGAAAGGAATATTCATTGAAAGGATTGATGCTGAAGCTGAAGCTCCAAAACTTGGCCACCTGATGCGAAGAACTGACTCATTAGAAAAGACCCTGATGCTGGGAAAGATTGAGGGCAGGAGGAGAAGGGGACAACAAAGGCTAAGATGGTTGGATGGCATCACTGACTCAATGGACATGAGTTTGAAAAAGCTCTGGAAGTTGGTGATGGACAGGGAAGCCTGGCCTGCTGCAGTCCATTGGGTCGCAAAGAGTCAGACATAACTGAGTGACTGAAATGAACTGATGAGTTTGACATATATGAATATAATTATTTCAATTAAAATATAAATAATTTCCATCACTCCAAAAAGCACCTTTGTGCTCCTCTGCAATCAGTATCTCTCCCCACACAGTCTCAGAAAACATGATGTGTTTTCCATTTCTTATATTTTGTTTTTACTAAGATTTCATAACACTGATATCATGCAATATGCACACTCTGTGTATGGCTTTATTTATTTAGCATAATTTCAAGATTCATCTGTGGCTATGAGAATCAGTAACTTTTTTTTTATTGCTGTTAACTATTTCTCAGTATATTTGTACCATAGTTTATGTATCTACTCAGCTGTTGTTGGACAGGTGGATTTTTCCAGTGTTGGGAAACTACTATGCCACTGATGTGCAAGTCACAGAATGGAGATATGCTTTCACTTCTCTCAGGTAAATATCTAGTAGTGTGATTGGTGAGTTGTATAGCTTTATAAGATGTCAAACTGCTTTTAAAATTTATTATATTCCCATCAGCAGTGTCTGCAAGTTCCAGTTCCTCCACATTCTCATCAGCACTTGCTGTGGTCAGTCTTTTAATTTTAGTCATTCCATTGGGTATGCAAGGGTATTTGATTGTGGTTTAATTAGCATTTCCTAAAGACTAAGGCCACCTCATGCAAAGAATTGACTCATTGGAAAAGACCCTGACGCTGGGAGGGATTGGGAGCAGGAGGAGAAGGGGACGACAGAGGATGAGATGGCTAGATGGCATCACCAACTCGATGGGTATGAGTCTGAGCAAACTCCAGCAGTTGGTGATGGACAGGGAGGCCTTGGATGCTGTGATTCATGGGCTCGCAAAGAGTCGGACACGACTGAGCAACTGAACTGAACTGAAAGACTACGGACTTTCAGCATATCTTCATTGTTCATTAACTAGTCACATATCTTCTTTAATAAAGTGTCTGTTCATGTACTTTGTCACCTTATTAGTTGGATAATTTGTCTTCTATTCAGTTCTTCATATATTATGGGTGCATGTTCTTTATCAGGTTTATATGTTGGAATATGTTCTCCCAGTCTGTGGTTTCCCATTTTATTTCCTCTAAATGTCTTTCAAAGAACAAATGTCAACTTTTGATGAATTCCAAATTATCAATTTTTTCCTTTCTAATTCAACTATTGTGGCCTGAGTAATCTTTGCCTGCCCAAGATCATAAAGAATTATTTCTATATCTTATTCTAGAAGTTTTAAAATTTCAGCTTTTATATTTAGATATATTCATCCAATAATAGAGCTTAAAACATGAAAAACAAATATCGACAGAACTGAAGATAGACAGAAATATATTAATTTTGATCAAATATTTAAATACCCTCTCAATAATTATCTTCATCAGATTGAGATCCCATAATTGAGTATTATAAACTAGATGGCTACAGAACACAGATTATTTTCTCACAGTTCAGGAAGCTGGAAGTCTGAGATTAAAGTGTCAGCAAGGTCAGAATCTGGTGAGAGCTATCTTCCTAACTTGCAGATGGCTCCCTTCTGGCTATGTCCT